TGAATACTAAAGAGTGTCTAGGCTATAGAATAAATTCCGACTTCTCTGTTATTGCTATAATTTGAACTTAAAAATGGTCCTTTTAAATCTTAGACTTTTCATGAAAATTTTAGGCTTATGTCTTAACTTTCTATTCATATAAACCATATTTAAGTCCAAACACATGTAAGCAATACTTAATAATTCTTAAATCTTGTAATACTTAATTTTATTACATATTTTTATTTAATTATTAATGGTTGTAATCTTGTACCAAGGTTATCATATGAAAAGGAATGCTAGTGGTAGTTAGAATTTACTATGTTTGTGTCTTGAAAAATTGTCAAGTATTATAATATTATTTTATCAATGGGTATGTCTTTCATATTGGACAGTATGGTTAGGGTAGAAAGATTTATAATAGTGAAATTTGTGTTAAGATATCAACTTTTAATGAGTTTTGAGTTTATTATTATGGGAAGTTAAAAGAAGTGATTAAATTGCAACATTATAGCGAGCATAATAAAGTCTTTTAATTCAAATTCTATTGTTCTGATGCCATCAATAGAGAAATCAGAGTAGATCTCCACCATGTTTTGGTCAAAATTAATACAAATACTAGACTTTGTAATGCCAACTATATCTTTGTTTTTGTCAAGAAATGCCAACAAGTTTATTACACATACACGTTTTCTTTTAGAAAGTACCATTCTAGGGTTGATTAGTTATTTATTGTGAAAACCAAACTCAGGAGTAGTTTCCAAGTTATTTAGAACAAGGTTGTCAAAAATATTTTTTGACATGACAAAAAAAACACAATGTAAACTTGGATTGTAAAATTGAATCGTAAAATCATAAAATTAAAAGTAAATTTTTTTAACTAATTATATTTTGACAATTCTAGCCAAGTTACCTAATTATATTTTGACAATTCTAGCCAAGAAATTAATTATATTAAAATCTAATAAAAAGAGTCAATAACATTATAATCAATGAGTGATCTAAATAAGATAAAGGAGATAGTTATTATAGTATGAATCAAGAAATTAATAACATGAAAAAATAAAATGTCTCAAAACAAAATTTTCAAATACAAGAAGGAATCACTGAATGGTAGGAAATACATAAGAAATTGTTGACAGATTGGTTGTTCCCATCATAATAAGTCCTCAAAGATCCCTTTTGAGTTGCAAGATAATGAGCCTAAACTATTAATCAACTAACATAAGCCCAATAATAAAATAAACCCATAAACAATGTCTAATACGTTGGAATAAACTCAAATTAAAAATAATTATTCATCATTAAATAAGTAGATAAAAAATAAAAACAAAATCTTTATGCTAAAATTCCTTTATGTTTTCTTTTAAGTTGATGAGTTAATTAATTCATATCAAGTTGCTTTGTCTACCAACAGAGAAAAAAATAAAATTTTTATATAGCTGAGAATATTTTTATAGATGTTGATGTTAAGAAGTTAACTGGTATATTAAGAATCAATGGATATACATAAATCGATGAAGATGATGAGATCGATGAACTTCAGTTTAATAAAAAAGATTATGATCATGATGATGATGATGATGATGAAGAAAAAGAAGATAATTCTGATTTAAAAGATTTTAAACTGATTTTATATGTAAAACATTAATGTATAATAAAATTGACTTAAATATTTTTTTTTTCATATGTCGTTGCTTTACAGTGAACCATTGTGAACACATTTAGAATATTTATTATTATGTTATTAAATAGAATTGGTGTCACTTTGTTGTGATTTTATTGTATTTATAAGTTGGATAAATATTGAAAAAAAAAACTTCATGGAAGATTTATTATTTTATACCAATGAAAATGTCAATGGAATGTAAAATACCAATAGTATTATCAATAGACTAGGTACCTTGAAGATTTCGAGAGAGTTAGAAAAAATCACAAGAATTTTTTTTATTGAAAATTACCAACAAAATTACCAATGGATTAAATCCTTCAAAGAGTTCTAGAGAGTTATAAAATAATTATAATACTTTGCTACTAAAAATTATAGATGAAATTATTGACAGAGTAAGTCCCTCGTAGAGTTTTAGAGAGTTGGAAACAAATTACTGGATTTTGCCACTAAAAATTACAGATCACCAATGAAACTATCGATGGAAAGAAATTTCATCAGATAATATTTTTTGGGGCTTTGAATTTTATGGGTGTTATAAAAACATTTTAGTGTTAATTACTAACGGAATTACTGATAAACATTAAAAATTAATAAATGTTTAATTGTCTGTTGGTAATTCTGTTAGTAAAACATCCCATTAATAAAAGACTAGAATCTCTAATTTCAGAAAAAAAAACCTTGTCTTCTTCTTGTCTTTTCTCTGCTATGAACTTTCTGGGATTTTTTTTAGTGAGATCATTTTTTTTAAATATTTTTTTTAACCTTTCATTTTGATTCTAATTTTTAATTTTATTTACTGATCTCTTTGATCGAGTTGAAGTTTTGAAGTACTTGATGCTTGAACGCAATCCAAGGTTGATAGAGTTTTTTTTGTTGAAACTCACGTGTAAAATAAGGACCATCAAAAAAGGATACACTATTTTTTTTTAAGTTGGATTTCAACTTATTCCTCTTTCATTGATAGCCAAGTTTAGAAGTTCAAGGTAAGTTGAATTTTAGCAATTTTTAAAGTTTTTTTTTATTTGCTTTCTTGTTTTTTTTTTAAAGAAATATATACCACTCTATTATATAAAAGATATGAGAACTATCATTCGAACCATTCAAAACTTGATTTGAATTTGTGGTTGAAGGCTAGATCTAGTGGTGGACTCGATAGAAATTAAATTTATATTATTTCTAACACTACGATCATGGATATACAGGCAAGTTGTAATCTATTGATTGTTTTAAAGCCTCACAATTGATATTAAGCCAACAATCTTTGACCATTTAGGTGATTGTACAAAAATAAGTTCAAACTCATACGACCCAATGTAGGTGTAAGATGGCTAAGGGATAATGTGAATGATCTCAAGCATTCATTGGAAACTCTCATTAGTACTTGTGGTTAACCTCGTCGCCCTCCTGATTTTGGTAAAGATCTGTCTCCTTCTCCAGTTTATGTCTAAATATTATATTCAATAATATTTTTGATTTTTTTAAAATATTAAATATAATAGTGACAGAATTATTAATGGAATTTGAATCACGATGGAATGATTGATAAACTAAGTTTCTCGAAGAGTTTTAGAGGATTAAAATTACAGGATTTAATTTCCACTAGTAGATGTAATTTTTCAATGGTTTGATTTTGTTGGTAATATACATATATATACTAATGAACTTACCAATGCTTTATTCTATCAATAATATATCATAATCACTATAGATTAGCCAATAAAATTAATAATAGCAGTAATTTGTTTTTTGTTTGGTATTCTATTTTCATTTTTTAAATCTATAGGTAATTATGTTAGCAATAAACTAACTAAAAAAATAAAAATTATTGATGATATGTTTTTTAATAATATTTTTCTATTCAAGATTTTGTTGATAAATTTAATTTTGATTGAAATAGTATTATTTAAATACTGACAAAATATTTTATAGGTGATATACAGTTATAGTATACCGTAGTGTATCTATTAGGCTGAATTATTGTTTCAAGAGTCAACTAATACATTATGAGCGAAAATGAGGTTTTATCTTGAGGCTGCACCACTGAAGAAAACCCATTAATGATAAATGCTTCGCACAATCATGTATGATCACGAGTTATAATTTGAAGAAATGCTCGCTTGACAGAGCTTGTGGAGCTTTTAACGTATTAGTTTAGTATATAATAAGGTTATCATAAATAAAATTATCATTTATGGAGTAATGAGACTTGAATCTAAATTTTATTTTTTCCCTCTTAATTTCTTTATTTAAAACCAAATATATTAAATTCTTATTTTCCCACACAGATAAAAGGAAAAGAAAAATAAATTGGCAGAATTATACCTTAATTACAAAACCATATTTAGCACATCAATTACATGACTGATCTATAGTCTTGACACATAAAAAAAGTACATGCTTCAACTGTTAAGATGAGGGATATCCACAAGAATATGTCGTATTCAAACTTTAAGGAGTGAGGATTTGGAATAGGAAAAGAATTCCCAATCCATTGTATTTCCCGTTAAAAAGAAAAGAAGAAGAAGGAAAGTCAAGGAGGTGGTTTGGAAGGTAGGGCCTTCACCCAAATTTCAAGAATACAATCCCTTTCCAAGCTTAAGAGGATAACTTTAAGCAAGTAGATGACGGAAATTATGTCTATGGAGATCCGACATGTATAGAAACACCAAATTTTTTTTTAAAAAAGGAAATTTTAAAGCAATTCAATGATAGATTAACAAACCACACTTCCACCACTGCAACCTTGAAGGTGGCAAGCATTATCATGTTTCTAGCGGCCAGGAATTGCACAAATCTCCCCTTTCCCCTTCTCTATATCATGTAAAACTATCTATGCTCCCACCATTTCAAGAAAAGAAAAAAAAGAACAAAAAAGAAGAGCACAAGATCGAAAGATAAAGAACCTAAAAAGATAAACCCCTTGCACCCCATTATCACCAGTATGTACTTTCCTCACCACACCAATGTTCTAACATAGAAGAATGGGAAAGGGAAAGAAAAATTAAACAAAAACAACCCTCACATTCACATGCTTCTAGCCATCATTTCCTGGAATCTCCTGTAGGATTCCTGCTTCTCCAATATAAACTTTTCATGGCAGCTTGCAATGAACAAATCCGCTAGCCGATTGATATCCTTCTCAGTGCCACCAGAATCCTCGTCATCAACTTTCTCTTCTAGCCAGTGAAGGTACCCTGAAAGCTGAGACTCGGTTTTGTCCTCATACTGCTCATTTGTGATTATTGAGTTCCACGTAGAGTCATAATAGAAATGGGAAGCAGAGAATCCATCAAGAACTGGTTCTGACATTGGCAACACATGTGAAGAGCACCAGTTATAGTGCAACCTAAATGAACCAAGGAATATCTTCCTACTCCTGTTCTTCCTTTTCGAGTTCTTTGTAGGGAAAAGGAAGTGTAAAGGTTGGTTTTCTTTAAGAATCTCAACGAAAATGGATTTTGCTTTGGATAGAGCTCGAATGATGCGGCACACGTGTGAGATGATAAGGGTGTGAATTAGGGTTTTGGTCTTCATGGAGCTTAAGGTAGAAGATGGTGACTTTGTAGAGAAAACTTGAAGAGGGTGCAAGGTTTTTAGGAAGGACGGGGCGCTCACCATTTGCTCTCTTGATCTTTTAAGTTTGGTGGGGTTAATTTCTGGGGCATTATTCAAAGGGATTTATAAAGAGTTTTGATTACCTATTTGCCACTATACTTTAATCATATTTCAGGGAATACCACCCACTTCGTAGACTGTGTAGGTATTTCTCCATTTTCCTTTTTCTTGGGCATGCAATTTGTAAGGACTTGAAATCTCGTAGCCATCTCAAGTTTCTATGTTGCGTGACCCGCTTACATCTTTTGAAATTTTGTGGCACTTTTCTGATACGGATCAGTGTATCCAGGTCATGTTCATGGTAGAATTAGTGATAAAGCAAGTGATCCATGCCTCGTCAAGCTAAGGTCACGATACAGTGCAATTTTTTAATTTGAGCAAGCAACTCGAGAACGGCGACTAAGGCTTAATCTTCGCTGAAATTACCAGCCCAAGAAAATAATATAATGTGAGATATGCTCCTCTAGGTTAAACCATCAACTGCTCGAGCACTATGTACATATTTTGATTTGGATCTGACGTAAATGTTGTATTTTTTCTTCTTTTTTTTCTTATGATAACGTAGGTGTTGTATTTCTTTAACAAATCTTAATTTGTATTCATACAGAAGAGTCCGAGTAGGTTATTTTGGACGACCCTGAAACCTGGTAACCTTCACCTGAGTTCCACTGAAACCAAGAAATTAGGGATATATTTAATTATACAGTGAGGGTTAGGGTAGTGTTCCAGATGGTGAAATTTTTGGTATCATTGATAAACTTTACAAGTTTGGATTAGATATCAATTAGTTGAGTTTAATTCAACTGAATTATCAAATTTGTTAATAATAATCTAGTAAATTGATTTTAGCATCCACTTCTTAATATAAAGACATTGAATTTAAATCTCTTTTTTATAATAATAATTATATATAAAAAGAGTTTTAGGATGCTTGTCACATTCAATCCTTTCTCATCTTGAACCATCTAGAGTTTCCTTGTATCCATCACTAAACAAAAAATTAATTGCAGATTTCTTTTGCCTCACTTATACATATATTGTTATACAAAATTATCATGCCAAATCAAATGTCAATAATTAGATAGACTAACACACAAAAACCTAAGTTCATCCAACTCCCCCATCCTTCATATTGTCTCTCTCCATAGATATTGTTTAAATATATATATTTTGTAAGAAAATCTAATAAACAAAGTAGAAAGAAATTAAAATAAAATAAAAAAATTATTATTTATTATAAATTCAAAATTTTATTAATTTAAATACAATTCATCTAAAATAAAGAGAATGATGTAAGTCTTCACCGAGATCAGGGGGCAATAAGGGAGAGCACATGTTCCACCTATATGTGATTTCATCTTCATACACAATCATTAGATTTCTGCCGTCTTAGTAGTAAGATGGATCATCTGAGCTACAACTTGTTGGTTTAAAATCACTTGAAACTCTGAGGAAAGAGTGCTCAGAGCTAATTGTCAGTATCTAATAGTTGAAATACTTTTGATCGTTTGCAACCCCTCAGGCTTAGTGTTTGAGATGTCGTAAACCTATTTTCTATCACATCTATCGAACGATCATGCCTCCAACCATAAATTTGAATCAAGTTCTATATGGATTGAAGGATAATCCTCATATCTTTCCTGCAATTAGGCGTTATATATTTCTTGGAAAAAAATCAATTAATTCAAAAAAATAATAACTTAAGATAAGAAATTGTTGAAATCCAATATACAATGAACTTCTAAACTCAGCTATCCACAAGTTGTTACATCTTTTTGTGACTATTATCATTTTGCATGTAAGTTTCTACAAAAAGCTCCATAGATCTTGGTTTGGGTCTAAGAATTGTAACCTATAAAATAAAACTGTTGTTAGTTAAACATTTTCATATAAAACAATATTTTTTTTAAATGGATGTAATGAAAAAAAATTTACCATCCGCTTCGCATGCAAAATGAATTGAATGAATCTGTCGATGTATGTGGTAATGGAATCGTGAATCTTCTTATTGTGGTACTTTCCACTAGACTACCATCACTACACAAAATACTTAGATATCATATGTTGGATATATTCTATCCATATAACATTCGATACATATAAAGGTTTAAAATCCCTTCAAACCACCACATCTCTCTAGCTTGGAAAACCTCTTTCTTTAACATAATTTTTGGTTTTTTTCTACATTTCATATAAAAAATAATATAACCTATATGATAGAAATGAATTGTTGGTTAATAAATGAAAAATAAAATTTTAAATTTTAAATAAAAAATATAACATTTTAAATTCAATTCAATCTTACCTAGTTGCATTCATTAATTGAAATTACTTTTTCAAAAATTATTAACTTTTCTTTATTTTTTAATAGTGCATGAAAGGAAAACAAACTTATATTAAGTGGTAAGACTTCCAAAATGCAATGTACTTCCTATTATATAGTTTCTATTCTGAAGGGACCTTCCGGTATGGCGGCATCCCTCTAAAAAAGCCTGCAACGAGAGAGGTTGCATATGCCTCAAGTGCCTAGTCATAGTTAGCACCTAATAACTCATGGTCATCATAAATGTTATTAGAAGAACTAGTAATATTTCTATCCGGATGACTCACTACTCTTTTTTTTCTAGGTATCTATACAAATTAAAAGATTGAAAAAGGTAATAACATTCTTATTTTCAAATTAAAGGATTGAAAAAGGTAATAACATTCTTATTTTTTTAAAAAAAAAAAATTAGCACCTTTTCTATACAGGAGACTACTCAAAAGTTTAAATCCTGCAAATATATATTAATAATATGTAACCACAAACCAGTTAATTTTATTTACAATAAGTCTTTGTTCCTATTGATTTTTAAATAAAAAAACCAATAAATTATATTTTGCCTATTAATATTTTCCACATGTGCATTGCATAGCAAACATCTTCTATATTATACAAAGAAAAAAAATGCACTTATCCATGTGTAATGCAAATCACTATTTCAGCATAACTCCAAGAATTTGCATTCTTTAATTTACATAAAAGCTTTCCAATTTGGTAGTTTAGTGCAAATCTACTACTTTAAAATCCAAATTAGACCTAACATCTTCTCTCATGGTGTAAACATGAAACCTTTCTAATATTAAAAATCAATTCAAGTTAAACATTTTTCTTTACAAAGTAGAAACATTGAACCATTGATCTACTAAAAAAATTCCATTTAATACAACATTGAATTTGGATTGAAATAAAACAGTTACATTATGACTTTACACACACACACACACACACATAGAAATAAAACAATTACATTATGACTTTATACACACACACACACACACACATACACACATTAAATAAAAAAGGTAAGAAAAAATATGTTCATATTAATATAATTTCACAAAAATAATAAGTGGTATGGAAGGTTCATTTTCCAATTGTTTATTAATATTCTAACATTTGTTTCTATCTTTTTTCTCCCTTTTCAATGCTAACAAAAAGCACATATGAAATTTTCAATATAAACACAATGACAGTTTTTTTAAAAAAAAAAAAAAAGAGGAAGAAGAAAGAGATTGACCTAGAACTTTTCTCCTATTTGGTGAGGAGGACCTTGATGGATTGTGAGGGGAAGTGATTGAAAAAAAAAATTAACTAAACAAACCTTGGGAAACAAATAAAAAAAAGAAAAAGAAAAAGGAGATTTATCTCGTAGAAAGGGTTCTCACAAGAGGATGTAGTGAGAAAGGAAGAGAATGAGAAGGAATAAAGAGAGGAAAAGAATGGAGCCAAAGAGAAAAGAAAAGCAGAAGCTGAAGAGAGGGCAATAAAAAGAGAGAAGATGGTTGATGTTTTAAAGTTAGGGATTTTGGTTTTTTAATTGTTTTTTTTACAGGCGATCTTACAGATAGATAATTAAATATTTATATTTTTAACACGTTCATCGGTGGTTCTTTCTATAATCTTTAATTGAAATTTTCAATTAAACCAAAAATTTTCAAATATCTTTAAATATCACCGATTAATTTTTGGTTTATCGGTGATTTTTCTGTAATGATCAATGGTATTGGAGTGTATTTTTTTCAACTCTCTTGAATATATCGACAAACTTAGTTCATTGGTGATTTCATTTGTAATAACCAGTGGTATGGAAGTGTAATTTTTTTCAACTCTCTATAATATACCGACAAACTTAACACATTGGTGATTCCATTTATAATAATTAGTGGCATAAGAGTGTAATTCTTTTCAACTCTTTGAAATATACCGATAGACTTAACTCGTTGATGATACCATCGGTATTGACTAGTGGTATATGAGTGTAATTTTTCCTAACTCTTTGAAATATACCAACAAACTTAGTCCATTGGTGATTCCATTTATATGTTTTTGGTCTGTTGGGGATTCTGTCTTTAAGTCTACATGGTGATACATGTAAGTTTTTCCTAACTTTCTGGAACTTTGAGACGTACTTAATTCATCACTGTATCTGTTGGTATTTTAGACGCTGATGGTAATTTTATCAATGAAAATTTTTTTTGTGTCCATATTTTATTTATATTCATTATCTATCCATCCTACAAATATATTAAAAAACACTAGTTCTGTGTAAAATAATAAAATCACAAAACAAAAAATGTTTCCTTGTCATGTAATAATAAATCCATGTCATTATAAAAGAACATAAAAAAATACATTGAAGTTAATTTCATTACACATTCATGTTTTACAAATTAATCAGAATTGTCTTCTTCTTCTTTAATTCCATCATCGTCATCTCCATTGCAATCTTTTATATTGAATCCATCGATATCATCATCTTTATCAATTTTTGTTTGTTCGTTGGTTCTCAAAACATCATTTAACTTCTCAACATCAACACTAATAAAACTATTCTTAGTGACGCAAAAATTTAAATTTTCTTCTAAGTTAGTAGGTGAAGTGACTCGATGTGGATCAACTAACTCATTAAATTAAAAGACATCATCTTTTATGGTTATTTCATCATTACTATCCTAAACAATTTGATCATGGCCTCTAGGTTTGGTTTTAACTATAGACAATCAATCAACCCTAAGAAAATCCTTCTTAAAGGAAAGAGTGTTTGTGTAATAAATGTTAGCATTGTTTGGAGAAAACCAAGACATCGTTGGTGTTGTAAAATCTAGCTTTTGTATTATTTTTTGCCATACCAAAATGAAGATCGACTCTAATTACTTTATCAGTGGTATCAAACCAATAACATTTGAATAAAAAAGCTCTATCTTGTTATGATATTTTAATTCAATAACCTCTTCTAACTTTCCATAATAGTTAACTTCAAACTCATTAAAAGTTGATCCCTTAACATAAACCCATTATTATATTTCTTTCTACCTTAATCATATTTTTTAATATGAAAAACATGTTCATTGATGAAATACCTATTATAGCACTTCGCCTTT